ATCAGAGTGGTAACAGCTCTTAGGTATTCACTGTCCTCAAGATTTGTACCAAGAAAGCCAGGCAGGGTAGCACTCTCCTGTAATTGCTCACTTGGAAAATTGCTAGTTCAAGGTCATGCTTGAACATACACACACACACACACACACACACACACACACACACACACACATATATATATATATATATATATATATATATAGAGAGAGAGAGAGAGAGAGAGAGAGGGAGAGAGGGAGATGGAGATGTATGTGTATGTGTTGAGCATAGTGATGCACACTTTTAATCCTGGCACTGGGGAGGCAGAGGCTGGTGAAACTGAGTTCAAGGCCAGCCTGGTCTACAGAAGAAGAAGAAAAAGGAGGAGGAGGAGGAGGAGAAGAAGAGGAGGAGGAGGAGGAGGAGGAGGAGGAGGAGGAGGAGGAGGAGGAGGAGAAGAAGAAGAAGAAGAAGAAGAAGAAGAAGAAGAAGAAGAAGAAGAAGAAGAAGAAGAAGAAAGGATAAGAGAATTAAATCAAGATACTGTAGTGTAGTGGGTAGCTGTTCTAGCTATGAGCTTGAATCATCACCCCTAGTGAGGTAACAGATAACTGTTACACCTGCCTATGACCTTGAAGTACATGGCCCTGGGGCCTGGCCTCTCAGGATCCTTAAGACCTGGGTTGCAGGTAGGAGGCTCTCTCTTCACCTCCTCATGGTATTGGATGCTGAGACCTTGGACCAGGCAAGTCAGCCTGGGACATAGCTCAGCTTTCTCAGACCCTATGATAAATCTCCCATGGTAGTGAGTTAACCCCAAATAAATTCCTTTGCTCATTAAATAGACTCTGTGGATTTCTTGAATTACTGTAGGTCTCCTTAAAGCCTGTCTAGGCATCATAAACAGTGCTTCATTAAGCGTTCCTCAGTTATTCACCTGATATGGCAGCATGTTGACTTTTTAAGCATTTGTTTAGCATCTTCACTCTCATCTTCATATGTGGCTAACTGTGTTTTACAGTGATTGAGATCCCAAAAGTCTAGAAATTTCCATTTTTTTACTTCAAAAAGAATAAAGTTAGGTAATAACTTCCTATAATATTGACATAGAAATTAAAATCAAATTTTGAATTGAAAAAGCATGTTAAAGAGTACCTAAGTCTGAGCAAGTAAGGCCTGTGATTGAGGCCTTATAGAGGCTATCCACAGTGGAACTGGAGTAAGTCAGTGTGCTGAACAGTTTTATGTCAAGTTGACACAAGCTAGAGTTATCAGAGAGGAGGAACTCAATTGAGAAAATGCCTCCATAAGATTGGACTGTGATGGTTCCTGTCCCTGGTGCATGAGCCGGGTTTTTGGAGCCCAGTGCCTATGATGGGACACTTTGCGAAGCCTTGGTGCAGGGAGGAGGGGCTGGGACCTACCTCAACTGAATGTACCAGGCTTTGCTGACTCCCCATGGGACAACTTGCCTTGGAGGAGATGGGAATGGGGAGAAGTGAGGGGAGAGGCTGGGGGCGGGAGGATGGAGGAGAGGGGAATCTGTGGCTGGTATGTAAAACGAATAGAAAAATTTCTTAATAATAACAAAAAAGAAAAAAGAAAAAGATTGGGCTGTAGGCAAGCCTGTGGGGCATTTTCTTAGTTAGTGATTGACATGTGAGGATCTAGCCCATTGTGGTAGCACCACCCTGGGTAGATGGTCCTGGGTCCTATAAGAAAGCCGGCTGAGCAAGCCATGGGGAGCAAGCCTGTAAGCAGCACCCTTCCATGGCCCCCAGGTTCCTGCCTTGCTTGAGTTCCTGTCTGTGCTTCCATTGATGATGAACAGTGATGTGGAAGTATAAGCCAAATCAACTCTTTCTTCCCCAACTTGCTTTGGTCATGGTGTTTCGTTGCAGCAGTGGAAACCCTGACTAGGACAGCCAGCTATCTGAGTCTTCGGCTTCTACTACTCCCTTCTCACTGGAGGTGTTTTTGTGAGGCCTTCGGTGGTAGAAATCAATACTGGAATTACCTTATAGTTTTCTTCATCAAATAAGAACTGATACAAGAGAGCTAGGTGTGACAGCCCGAGCCTGTAACCCCAGCTCAGGAGAGGAGGAGGTAGGAGGATCAGAAGTTGAAAGCTAGCCTGAACTACAGGAGACTCTAGCACAATAAATAAATAGAAATAAAACAGCAAACAACAACAAAACAGAATTGCCATAAAAAGAGTAAGATGGAGGTTGAAATGGTGATTTCTTTATTTTCTTTTATTTTTTCCACTTCTTTCTGTAAGAGGAAAAGTGATGCTCTTCCCTTGAGGACAGGCTCAGTTCTCTGAATTGCACAAAGGAAGGAGGAATGGAGTGTAGCTCCCAAACCAGGTGATGAAACGAAACGTGTAACTCCCTGCTTGCTTTCTTTCAGACACATGCAGGGAAGGAAGCTGCCCTGCGATAAGGAGAGAGGAACTATCAACTATCAACTATCAAATGTCAACTGTCAACAGCTCTTGGTGGGTACTGTCTTCCAGCTAGGCCTCCAACCTGCAAGTAAATGAATCCTGGGGACAACTTGACCCTGCTGAGCCAGAGCCATGCTCCAAACTGCTCTTAAGTTCCTAAGCCCCAGAAACGTTAGCAGTGGTTTGGAGTGCTGCATGTGAGGGTAACTAGTTACAGCACAATAGCTAATTGCTAGAACAGGGGAGGGGAAAGGAGACAAGGCAAAGCAAGGGAAGAGTCTTCAGAAAAAAAAAAAATTCTTCCTGTAAAACATTGTTACACAGCACCAGTAAAATTCACTCAAAGAGGAGCGCGGACACCTGATAAATTGCCAAAGCAACAGATTTAGAGCCCAGAATGTCATGGTTTCTGGAAGAACACAAGAAAAAAATGTTTTACAGTGGAAAAAGTTTCCAAATGACACTCTGGATGAACTACGGTGTGTAGAAATCCATGAGTAAATTTGGTGAGAGGTCAGATAAAACAGGGAGGGCAAGGAGGGGAAAGGCAGGTTGGGAGGGGGATTCCTTGTGACACCCATAGGCAGCCAGAGAACCAGGATTCAACAGAGAGAAGAAATCATTCAAACTAAAGAAGAAAGGCAGACAGGTTTGTGAAAGCTGAAAAAAATGGCACCAACTCAAGCAAGACTTTACTCAGAGGCAAGGTGGATAGACAGAAATGCCAGTGTTATGGTTTGGAGAGGACATGGCCTCTTCATCAAAGGCTCACCTGTGGAAGGCATTGGTGTAGTGTTCAGGGATGGTGTTCTGGGAGATGTGAGCAGATTCATGAATACAGTCACTATTGATGTTTTCACAATGAATGGACCACTAAGGAGTGGTAGAAATCCTGGAAGGTGGGAGCTGATTGGAGGATCACTAAGAAAGAGCTGTGAAGGGTATGTCTTATCCTTGGCCTTTCCCCTCTCTGTCCCTCTTTGTTCCCAAACCAGCAGCCTCTTCTCTTAAAAGCTCTTGTCACCATGATACTCTGCCTCCCTGTAGGCCCTTTGCAATAAAACTAGCTGACCATGACCCTGACACTCTGAGACCATGGGTCTACATGCACCTTTCCTTCCTCAAGCCTTCCCCTCCTTAAGAATTTTGTCAGTGATGCAAAATGACTCATAGAATGAACAAAAAGAAAATGTGGGCATAGTAGGAGAGTTTACAGGGGAAAGAGAAGTCTACAAGAACAAACTGAGCTTACCAGGCCCACAGCCACACAGTCCACCTCTAAAATGATCCTCTTGATTATGTAAGCAACTGAGATAAAAATCAAGCTCCTCCTGATGCTCCAGGCTCGTGCTGTGCCGTTTCTTTTCTTAAGGTGAGGCTGTAGTTTAAGTGGCGATGGCAAATGTCTGAGCATTAGAGAACGTAATAAAGTTGAAAACAGTTCCTGGAAGGCTGGCCTACCACTCCATTTGCAATATGCCCCCTCCTTTTGAATAAGGCTTCAGCAGACAAATTTGGTTTGATTCTGGGGAAAATGGAAATGAAATTCCTGGCACTAGTGATTTCCCGTCTCAGGAAGCTAACACAGCGTTGCAGTCATAGGAGGCACTCAGGGGCTTTGAATTCAGACCAACTTCCTTCTCATAATTTATTAGTTATAGCCAGTGTCAGGAGATACCATAGGCCTAAAATCATATGAGGAAGAAACTTGACTTTGAGGATTATAGAGCCAGTGACAGAACTCCTAAAAAGAGCTGGAATGAGTGCTTCTGTATTAGAAGATAATCATCAATACAATGGGGCATAAATCTCTTAAAAATAAATCCAGTCTACGAGCTGCCTTTTAACAGTGTGAAATATACAAAATCTCAAGGAAATGTGACTAGAATCCGATGCTTTACAGAGAAAGCTTGAAATAAGGCACGAATACTCATGCAACCCGGTACAATATGCATAACAATAGAAACACTGAAAATATACTGCCTGGGAAAATGCTAATGAAACATTAATAAGCAAAAAATTTCTGTACAGAGTCAGTGAAGGAAGAGGGCTATCAGGATGAGAAATCTAATGTTTATGGAGAAGCAAAGGTTTAGAAATGTAAAGAGGCAGAATTAGAAGTGCTCGAAGTAGTCTGTTTTATTTTAGAAAAACACCAGGAGAGAAAAAAAATAGCAGTTTACTATCTCTCAGTATTAGAAATCTGAAAAATTCTAGTTTTCCTTTATGCTTTTTTGTTTTTGAAATATCTACAATCAACCGTATCATTGTTAAAAATATCCTTTTTATAAATTGTATTTTAGGTTTAAGACCAGTATTGTGTATAAATAATGAAAAGAGCATATGTAAGTTGTAGCCTACAAAAATAATATTATTACAAGGATGACAGGAACAGACAGATTTTGTTCTCATTTTGGTGATACATATGTAGGTCTCGATTCAGTATAAACAACTATAGAGAGAATCAGGAAGGGAAGAAGAAAAATATAAAAAGAATGAGAAAAGAAAAGAAAAAATTCACTAGAATCACAAGAGTATGGTTTTTCAAAAGGTAAAGCAAAAACTGGCCGAGTCATCCTTCCCTGGCAGAGCAGACACCGTGATCAGAAGGGCGGCTTCCCCACACAAGGCTCATCCATTGCATTCCAGGTGTTCTGACCCCTGCAGTTTTCCCAGACATGGGAAACTCAACTGCATAATTTGTGGTAGTGGAAGACTGCATTGGCATGCTCCCTTAAAAAAAAAAAAAAAAAAAAAAAAAAAAAAAAAAAAAAAAAAGCTGGGCGGTGGTGGCACTTGCCTTTAATCCCAGCGCTTGGGAGGCAGAGCCACGTGGATCTCTGTGAGTTCAAGGCCAGCCTGGTCTACAGAGTGAGTTCCAGGGAAGTCACCAAAGCTACACAGAGAAACCGTGTCTCGAAAAAACAAAAACACAAACAAAAAAAGTAATTGGAAAATCCACTGAATAGACTATTGGGAGAGCAGTTTACTTGTATAGAATTTTAACTTACGATGTATATATACACTGCAATGATTGTGAGGTATTTCTACTGAGACACAAGTAAAACACATCTACAGGAATCTTAGAAATGATCTAGCATCGAGTTCTACTCAGAGAGGTAGAGTGATCCAAGAGTAAGTCTGAAATGTGAACTTACTCTCTTATTCTCTGGTTCCTGCTATGTGGGCCTCATGGGCATTCACTGGCGCCTCCAAGAAGAAAAGGAGCAGTCATTAGGGTTAGCTGGGCCTGTGGTGACAGATGAAGGGACATGAGTAAGCTTTCTAAAGCTGAAGAGGATAAGTTAATTTAGAGAAAATGGGCAATGGTGGGGACGACACAGGTGAGTTCCTGTTAACAGAATAAGGGCCAACTGAGGACCATTTTACTGGAGGGATAGACCCGTTGGAGCATGACAGCTTTCCCTAGTGGTTAGAGAAATTGTCACTTCGAGTGTTTAGAGTTCAAGTTTGTAGAAAGATAGAAACAGATTTATTTTTGTTGATGTTGTTTTAAAAAACTGACACTTTGTTTCTCTGAGCCCTAGCTTTTCCCACAAGATAAAAGTCTATTGTTCTATGATTCTTGTGCTGCTTAGGTTTTTGTCGACTTGAGACAAGTTAGAGTCATCTGGGAGATGGAATATCAGTGAAGAAAACAGGTCCTAGACACTGTAAGAAAGCAGGTTGATGGCTGGCTCTTGGGAACCTATTCATCATACTGGGTTGCCTTGCCCAGCCTAAATACAAAGGGAGGTGTTTAGTCTTGCCACAACTTGATATGTCTTGCTTTGTTGATACCCATGGAAGGCCTGCCCCTTTCTGAGAAGGAGTGGATGGAGTGGGGAAGGGGGCAGAAGAGCAATGAGGGAAGGAATGGAAGGAAAGGAGGGAGGGGAAAATGTGGTCCCGACATAAAATAAGCAAATAAATTAAAAAAGGAAGGAAGGAAGGGAGCGAGAGAGGGAGGGAGGGAAGAAGAAAGGGAGCAAGCAAGCAAGCAGGTTGAGCAAGCCATGGGGAGCAAGCTAGTAAGCAGCACTCCTCTGTGGCCTCTGCATCAGCTCCTGCCTTGAGTTCCTGCCCTGCTTTCTCTCAGGGATCAAGTGTGACCTGAGAGTTGGAAGATGAAATAAACTCCTTTCTTCCCCAGGTTGCCTTTGGTCATGGTGCTTATCATAGCAATAGAAAACAATAATTCTGTTTATGTCGCAATAGGAAGAAGCTCAAAACCAGATGTTTATAGTCCATTTGTAGAAAGATGAGTAGGCTTAGAAACAGCTTTTTTTTTTTTTTTTGAGACAGGGTTTCTCTGTGTAGCTCTGGCTATCCTAGAACTCACTCTGTAGACTATGATGACCTCAAACTCACAGAGTTCCACCTGCCTCTGCCTCCCAAGTGCAGGCATCAAAGGCGTGTGCCACCACCACCCAGCAAGTTTTCTGTTTTGAACGAAGAGTGGGCTTCTGGTCAAAGAAAGGTTACTTATATAAAAAGTAGGAGATGGAAAATGGATCAATGCAAACAGTTTGTAGGTGCAGCAAACACTACACAGGACACAGAAATCATTTAGAATGCTAAGGACCGTTTGACCCAAAATAATAAAACCAGCTTTGGGGAGAAAACCTTTCTCTAATGAGTAAAAATAAAAGTTCATAACAAAAATGTATAAAATGAGTAAGGATATTAATATTTAGGTTATGTTATGTTGACAAGTGTGTATTATAAACATGAAGAGAATCTCACTGAAGATACGTATTAATATATGTCAATAATGAAAAGACTGGCATTTGATAAATACAATTGTGAATGTTTCACATTCTCTCTCTTTTTTATATCAAACTTCTGAATGTTTTAAAAGGAAACATAAGTCTTGGGAGTAAAGCATTGTTAGCTTGAGAGTAAAAAAAAATATTGTCAACTATTTTTTTATGAGTAATGCTGACCTGTGTCCCATTTCCTGTCAGCATTAGAGGCTCTCGCCATTATGCAATTAAGCTGTCTGGGATGACCACCCGACCCTGCCAGCTGTGGGGAGATGGAGGCGCTTTAGAAGAGGCAGCCCTATGGAAAATGGCTGTTTTGCTAACTGCTTTGGCAGGTGGGGATGGTGAATCTGAGCCAGCTCTGCATAATGGTATCAGCTGCGGAGTTCCTCCTGTTCTACCTAATGAGGAATAATGGAGTGCCCAAGCCTTACCCCAGCAACCAACAGAGGAAGCCTGGCTCTTTGCCTTTCCCAGTGAAGTCTTCCAGTGTATTCTTTTATATCATCCTATTTTTCTTCATAATTTCATAATTTGTTCTTTATTTATTTGCTTTGTGCTTTTTCTCCAAACTGACTACAAAGACAGGAGAATTTTTGCTTTATCCCAATGGTCTTTCTGTGCAATGACAACTCCTAATGTGGTGCCTAGAGCTGAGTAGGTAATATGCATAATGTTGAGTTCATGGATATATTCTCTTTCAGAGAGCCCCTGCATCTATTAAAAGAAGCACTCCTTAATCTGTGCCAAATAGGTAAATCTCCACATTTTTTAATCCTGGGAAGTGGTTGCACTTCAAATATTTTCCAAGGCTTCTCTGATTCATTTTCTTGGTGCAACTTTCAGCATTAATATTTCCGACTCATAACTTGGTTCACGAGGTAGTATCCTGGACAAACTGTTATTTCATTGATGACAAACTCAGGCCTTGACTACCTACCTAAAAGCTTCCCAACCTCCCTGGATTGCTGCATACCCCCAAAGGCATGTTTCGAGGAGCTCTTTAAATGGCAGGTTCTATTTAAACACCTCGGGAAGCCAGGTCAGGCTGTGCTGCTATCAAGACTGAACTGCTACTGTGGAGAAAACACTGCAGTACAAACAATATTTTTGCCCTCACTCTACACTCCTTCAACCCTTCATTTTTTGGAGACCTTGTGAATACAAGGCATGGTTCAAGAGAAATTTCCAAGAAAAACAAGCCAAGAAGTAGCAATAGTTAGAAATACTAACATTAATTTTACAGCCAGTCCTGGTGGCAAGGCCTGTAATCATAGCTACTCCGAGTCAAGATAGAAGAATCTCAAGTTCAAGCCCTGTCTGGGCTACTGAGTGAGTTCAAGGCCATTCTAGGTAGTTCAAAGAGATCTTACCCCAAAATAAAAGGTAAAAAGGGGGTAGGTTGGGGGAAGGACAGTGCCCAGTGAAGGAATGCCTGGCTAGCACGTGTAAAGCTCTAGATTCAGTTTCTGACACCTCAAAACTTTTTAACTTAATCACACGTGCAAGTGCATACAAGCAGCAGATCTAGCTATCGGTATTCTAATATTGATGACCTCACCTTTATATGGTCACTGAGGAATACCACACAATAGTACTCGATCACAACCTCTCTCAGGGCTTGCCTATACTTTATAGACTTCATGTGGTTTTCTTAAAGCATCTGTCTTTCTGAGACAGCCTTATTCTATCACAATCTCCTGTGAAAACTAAATCTTCCTAACAGCTGTGCTTCATACCATCAGTGTCTGCAGGAAAAGGTTGGAACCCACGTGTCCCTCACTGAGTTGTTAGAATTCCTTGAAGTGGTTCTCTTCATTTTCTGTGTAGCAGGGCAACATCTTTGAAAAGGATGTGGCCACTAAGTAGATTTCTAGTTGATTGAGTTTGCATATATTCTACTGATCTTGTTTCTACCATTCAGTAGTTGGGAACACTTAGGGAGGCCATTTTAAATTTCAATTTGTCCTCATGTACAAAATGAAGACATTGAATAAAACCAATGATTTAAAATACTTAGCAACAAAATCCCTACTTCAATAAGATGTTTTGTCAAAGCCTGAGAAATATATGACCAAAAGCTTGAAATAGATTATAATTTTAATTACCTTACACTGAAAATTTAAAAATTTTTCTGTGTCCATTTGAGTATTAAATATACTAATTCCCATGTGGAAGGTACGGTTCCCTGGATGTCTGTACCTGTGGGAACCCTCCTGCAACCCCGAGTAAGCAGGCTAATAACTTATGGAATCCTCCTGCAACCCCCAGCAAGCCGGCTGAAGAGTTTTTTTCCCAGATTAGTTTCCAGAGACAGACTAAGTAATCCCACAAGTAGAAATATATATAAAGTAGGAGTGAATGATTACTTCTGGTCAGAGCATCAGAAGTAATCATGAAGGTGTCTATGATACAGCACTCGTCCAAAGGTCAGATTTATAAATGGGCAAGGCAGGTGAAGATTTCCAAGTGGATAGACACGACAAGTGACAGCTTGGAACCAGGAAACTGAACAGCACTGCTCAGAGAAGATAAGTTTTTCTATGTGTTGGTAGCATAAATGAAGTATGGAGAATTTGAGCTAAAGCTGGGAAATTAGACATAATCAGTTTATAGTTCATAATTATGACATTGCTTTTATTCTCTAGGTAACTAGAAAGCTACTGGAGGATATTTTGTGTTTGTTTTTTGTTGTTGTTTTGTTTTTTCGAGGCAGGGCTTCTCTTTGTGGCCCTGGCTGTCCTGAAACTCACTTTATAGATCAGGCTGAGCTCACCCTCACAGAGATCCACCTGCCACTGCCTCCCGAGTGCTGGGATTAAAGGTATGAGCCACTACTGCCCATCTTAAGTTTTAATTGCTTCCCCCGCCCCCAGAAATGGGGTTTCTCTATGTAGCCCCAGCTGGCCACTGGAGATTTTATTGCTGCAGTTTTTCTTCTTCCTTCCTTCTTTCCTTCCTTCCTTCCT